TATATATATATATATATATATATATATATATATATATATATATATATATATATAATATTTTAAAAAAGTAATTCAAAATAAATTATAAACATTTATCTAATAACTTACTAATATTGTATGCTGTCTGGGTTACTTTTAATCTTAACAGTACTTTGCGTAAGTATTTCATCACTTAGCAAAGTATTATATATTAGTATTTAAATATTGACAATGTTCTGCGTAAGTATTTTATCACTGGACGAAATATTACATTTCAATATTTAAGTATTGAAATCAATCATAAGGTAGGATTTGTAACATTAAATATTGAAATACTTGAGTACTAAAAGCTGTATTTGAATCACAGAATATTACGAAATACTGTACTTTTAATACTGAAAATAAATAATTAATCAATGATTCTTAGTATGATATTTCTATAAGGGAATGAGAATAGAAGAGGTAAAGAAAGTAAAACCATTGTCAAAGAAAGCAGCCAGTCTACTGAAATCTGATGATAACGATATTTCTAAGGAAGTAAGAGACGAATCGGAAGATTCAGAGACTTCAGAGGTAGAAGACTCATAGTATCCTCCACGATTAAAAAAACATGCATTACTTCTCGACAAGTTCACAAAATCTCAGAAAATCATAAAATTTATTATTAGAAAATATTTTTTGAATGTAACTATTAAAAAAACGCGATAAATAAATACAAAATACAAAAAAATAAAAATACAAAATTTAAAAAAATACAAAAAGTACAAAAATGCAAAAAAATACAAAAAATATAAAAAGAAAAAAAAAGAAAACTTCTTCTTAATTAGTACCTTGGTGTGGTGAAGGGGCTTAAGTGTTGTTATTATAAGTTATAATAATGATTTAGACCAGGCGCCTCCGGGAGGGGGGTAGAGCGGCCGGCCTCCATGGACGGGTTTTTAGGCCGCTCACCACCGTCCCAGAGAATGTAGGGGGAAAATGAATAGGGGGAGAATGTGGAGGAATGTAGGGGGAAAATGAATAGGGGGAAAATGAATAGGGGGAGAATGTGGAGGGCGACCCCTCCACCCCGTAACCTCGGTCAGGAGCGTAGGGACGGGTTGGATTCGGACGGGACTGGACTCGGCCCAAAAGGCCCCTAACTGGAGAGGTGTGAACGGACGGGAGGCCCACGTCCGGTCATGGAGGATTGGTACAGCGAGCCGGGAGGGAACTATCTGCCCCCCCCGGCTCGGGAAGGGGGGGGGGGTTTCTAGTTTTCTGCCCGGCGGCTGAGGGCATCCCGGAAGTCATGCGCAAGCAGTTCCCGGGGCGCCTTCGCGATGGCCGTAAGAGGCCCAGCAGAGGTTTTAATGGGTAGGCCCTCTCCGGCAGTTAGTTCCGGAGGAGGAGAGTCCCACACTATCCCTGGGAAAGTCCCGTATTTCCCGGGGGTGTGCGTAATGCATTTCCTCTGCTTTAACAAAAAAAAAAAAAAAAAAGAAAAGTTATAATAATGATACAACTATAACTAATCTATTGTATTCAATTCATTCATCATCAACATATAAGAATAGAAAATATTTTGGCTACAAATATTTGTTAAGAGTTCCACAGTTAGCGATTTTATATAGGGCCAATGAATTTAGGGTTTGGGGTTAATAGATTTAGGGTTGATGGTTTAGGTTTAATGATTTATGGTTAATGCATTTCAGGCTTACTCATGCTTTTAGGCCAATTGAGATTTTTCGGCGGCTATATTGGATCCGCCATTTTGATTCGCACAATTTAGGCACTTTTCAGCCTCAGTGACCTCAAAAACCCCTATATATATAGTTATATACTTATCCGTTATGATTTGTACAAATTATAGATTTTTGTCGCTCAAATTATTATTTTCGTCTACTGTGCGGCGGCCATATTGGATCCGCCTTTTTGATTCACACAATTTAGGCACTTTTTTCGGACTCAGCGACCTCGAAAACCTCTTTATATAAAGTTACATATATATTCGATGTGATTTATAGGAATTATAGATTTTTGTCACCAAAATCATCATTTTCGCCCACTGTGCGACGCGGAGCGTCGGCAGACCGATTCCGGGAGGAGAGGTTAGGTTAGCGCACCCGTAGGATCTCCTGGGGAGGGTTCCATAAGTAGGTGGATGGTCCCTTTTCCTCCGGGTGCACCCCCCGATCCTCCGCTTATGCGTGGGGTGGAGGACCTTGCGTCTTCTTCTTCGCGGGGGCCTTCCCCCTCCATTCACGTCAAGTTCGCCTTTGCGGCGTCTTCTCTTCATCTCGTTCTGCGATATCACCTCGTCGCAGAAGGAGGTAACAGCGGACCAGCTCTCAGCGCTTCCAAACATAGCTTTGATAAGGGCCCGGGGGCTGAGATCCGCTCCCACCATGCCTATGAGGATTCGGCGTTGCTGCTCCTACGAGGGACATTCCTCGAAGGTATGCTGCGCAGAGTCCACGCGGTATCACAGTGGTGGCAGCGGCGTGCTTCTTCTCGATGCTGTTTAGGTACTCACCAAAACAGCCGTGTCCGGTGAGTACCTGTATCGTTTGGAATGACAACTCGTGAGCCCTGTCTACCCACTCTTGTAGACAGGGCCGGATGGTCTCTGCGATCCTATTCCCTGAGTAGCCCGTCGCTTCCTTGAAGTGGATTTTCTACTTTAACAGGAGGCGCTGACGAGCCTGAATGCGCAAGAGCGTAATGGCTGCGCCCTCGAGCTATTCCCCCCACAGGAACTCCCGGGTACCCCAATACGTTTCGAGGTACATAGCTGCCAAGAGCTCCAGAGGGGAATGCCAGCTAGGGCCGTGGCGGCCATGTGCGACGTCGTCCTATAGGCACGGGAGAGGCGTACTGCTACCCAGCATTGCGCTTGGCAAACCAGAGACAGGATCCTCTGGTTCGTCCATATCTCCCGCGTCCAGAGGGACTCCGTACAGGCGACCGAATGGACGATGTTCGCATACACCCGCCTAGTCTTCCTTTTAGGGTCGCCAAGGTTGGGCAGGAAGCCGCGAAAGCTTCGCCATTCTGCTCAACTTGAGGGCCAGGGCCTCAAAGTGTCTCTGAAACCTCCATCTGTGCCTATATGTATCTTTAACGTAGATATATCTTTAATTTTTAAATTTACGATTTTAAACATTTTGTTATTTGCAATTTTAATGTTATTTGTTATTGCAATTTTAAATAACTATAATTTTAAAATAAAGATATTTTTTGTTATTATTATCTCATTTTTCTCAATTATACTAAGTTTTCTCCACAATGAGTACATACTTTTTCACTATTTTTCCAACTTGTAAAATTGTATTCTATTAATTTTTGTAAAGTATATGGTTTTTCCAACTTTTCTGACAACTGAAGTAATAGAATGTGATTTGACTGGATCTCTAAATTTGTAATACATTTTACTATAAAATTTTCTTCGTCTAGTAATGTATCTTTTCCTCTAATGTGAACTCGCAGACTGCGTTCCAATATTCACTGCCAGTATTGAAATTCTATACGTATACACGACACAAACTATAGATCTTCAGTTCTGGCAGTGAATATCGGAACGCAGTAGTAATCATTGAACTTTATTGAATTTATCGATGAAATTCCCTTATAGAAATATCATACTAAGAATCATTGATAATTACTTATTTTCAGTATTAAAAATACTGGATAATAAGTAATTATCAATGATTCTTAGTATGATATTTCTATAAAGGTTGCTTTATTTTATTTGCGAGTTTACGCTAAACGAAAAGATACATGATCGATTTAATGTTTATTGCGCACGTAATGTGTCCATTCTGATTAATGCACTCTATACGGAAATCTTTATAATATTTCATCTACGAAAATCTTTTCTGTCGCGTCAATTAATTTCAAATTCAGATTACACATTTGCAATGCGGATCGCGGACATCACAAGCGCCAATTAATATAAAACTATAAGGAAATGTACATAAAATTGTAAATATAGCTTGATATGTACATCTAATGGTCGATTATAAATCGTTTCCTCTAGCGTAAAGTGAATCGATGGCAATCATTATAGATACATGCTGCTTATTGCAGCCTATATATATTACAAACGCAATTTGACGGACAAACGCGCATTGCTTGGTACGTGCGTATACGTGTGATCTGAAGCTGAATCGCTTGGCGATGCAAACGTGACTTAATGGACAAACTTATTCGCTTGTGTGAGTGCGTACGTGTGAATCTGAATCTGAAAAATCTGAGAATTTGCGCGAAAGTAAAGGGACTTTTTAGCGGACGAGATTTCCAAATCTTCCCATAACCTACACCAATCTTAATCAAACTTGGTGCAAATTACGCGCGCAATAAACATTATATAAGGAAACTTTCATCAGATTTTCGATTATAGTTTTCGTGCTTGAGATGCCTCGGAAAATCAATCTAGAAATTCCAGATAAGCTTGCACGGTCGCGTTTGTTTGTTACGTACTCGGCGTCGCGCCGCGACCGCGGCGTTTGATAAATAGAAAAGAATATTCAATAAATTGCCCACTCTACTTTATTCTATTTTTTTTTTTTCATCAGCCACGTTTGCATGAGACTGGCGGCAAGTATGGGAACGGAGTGATCGTCCGTCGTTACCGAACCGGATCTATTATACCGGTGCGTGTGGAATTGACAGCGAACCATCACGGTTATTTCGAATTCCGAACGTGCGCGATATTCTATCGTGACCGGGAGGTCACCCAGGACTGCTTGGACCAGTATCTACTTCGCGCCGAGAATGGATCCATCCGCTACTATCCTGGCCCTGGCAATCGGGTTTTCGAGAGTTACTACAAGTTGCCAGAGAGTCTAACATGCGCCCAATGTGTCTTCCAGTGGCGATATGTTGCAGGCAATAACTGGGGTGATTGCGGTAATGGCACAGGTACACAATAGCTGCTTTCAATGCTGACTGACATTATAGAATGCAATACTGCTGAAATAATGCGTGCAATACTGCTGAAATGCAAATATATACTAATGGAGGATTGAAGTTTGTTATTATATCGAATCAAGTATTTATAGGAATAATAAATATCAAAATTAGCGTTAAAAGTATAATGCTGGTATTTCTATACTTAATATTCGGTATTTCTATACATAATATTCGGTTACACAAATTTACGAATGTTATTCGTGTACTTAGATATTCAAACTAGTAGATACTATTACGAATAAAAAAATATTTTAATTTCGTAATTTTTTCTGTATACTTACAAGTAACCTCACATAGATGGTTATCCGATTTGAATGAGCTTGAAATATGTTGTAATTTAGACCAAAAGAGGAGACACGTATTTTTTTATACGTGACCAGGTGGACTTGTAGGGGGCAAAGCACTCCTTTGAAAAAAATCGGTTTTTTTCTTTATGTTTCGTCTAAAGTATAAGAGATAGAAAAAAATTTTCTAAACAAAAATTAAATGCTTTTAGGAGTACTTTACAATGACAAAATCTGATATTTGAAAAATGTAATGATTGCTAACATATCCTCATCACTCAACAATTTTTTTTGTAATTTTAAAATTTTGTGTCTACCAAAAGAAAAGTATATTTTATGCCGAATCCAATCATATATAATAAAATGATTTTCCGATATACGGACTTGTTGAAAAATAAGTGAAAATATCCTCATATAACCGTAATGCCATTCGTAACCGCCTAACCTACTTGATAATATACGCAACATGTACTCATCGAACTTCCTCATAATAATAGGCGATTAATACTGATATGCAGAATATATTATCAAAATACATTTCAATAAATAAGGACGATAATAACAATAGTAATAGATGTATACACAACAATGTATAATTCATATATTCACATACATTTTTTATATAAAAGGACATACACACACACATACACACACACACACACACTCACTCACTCACTCAAATATCTTTTAAACAGTGCATTTTAGGGAAAAATGTTTCAGATAAAAATTTTGAGATTTTGAGGGGGATATAAGATGGTATCATTGGTCACCTCGAATGGCATCGTCAAGGTCAGGACAAAGTCACTTTGAATTTTTTAAATGGAACTCTCAATTTTTCATTACATATTCTTATAGCATATTTCAAGAGTTTTTCAAAACACTATAATAAAATATTTTTTTATTCAGTATCTTTCGAGTTAAAAGGTTTCAAAGTTACAATATTGTTGCCATTAACATTGGTACCCAAGGTGTTCGACCGACGGCTAAAACCTTTTGAATGTTGTTCAGGGCCATGACCTTGACAACATATGTCAAGGTCAAGGCGATTGGAGATTATTCCTAATATTTTTATTTCTTCAAATTTTACATTGAAAACGAAAATAATAAAATCATGGGGTAACATATGGAGTTCGATTGACTCATATGAAGGTCACAATGTTTCGTCGGGGTCACAAAGAAGCACACGTGTGAAATCCCATTAATAAATTTCTTTAATAATCATAGCTCGTGTCATTCACTTGTTAGCGTCACTTGTCCGCATTGTTGCTAATTTAACCGCGGAGACTCGTGGCGAATTCAATACTTTTAGTGTTTTTACAAGTTTTTCTATTATCCTGTAATTATGGCTGATTACTCGTCTAACGAAATCGTAGATATAATCAGAATTTTAGGTAAGGATCAATTATACGAGCTGAAAGGATTTATGCCGAAACATTTCCGGATAGATCCTAATAGGACA